GATGCTAATAACGCTAGAGTTCAGTTATCTGCGAGAGGTTTGTGCATTTACAGTGGGCAGCCTCACTACCGACAGCACAGTTTCGTCTGCTCTCCTGGCTACGTCCACTGGGCTACAACTGCTGGAGCCAGGCTTGCGTGAGGAAACGCTGCTTCTTTTTTATTTTTTCTTGCGGGTTTCTTTTTCGTTTGCTGGGTGTTTTTTTTATAACGACCATAGCTGCAGCAAGGCCCGGCAGTGCCGAGGCGGCTTTCCCCCGACAGGTGGTGCTGCGGCGGGCGGACGCGTCGAGGAGGTTTGTCCCCGCTGGCTGCCTGTAGCCTGCCCGGCAGGGCTGACGTGTAGTGGCGAGGCAGCTATGGCGGCTGCCTGGGAGGAGATTCGGCGCCTGGCGGCTGATTTCCAGCGGGCTCAGTTTGCCGAGGTTGCTCACAGGTGAGCAGGGTGGCGCCGGTACCTGCTGCGGCCTCAGAAGCCCGCCATCTGTCACTGCGGACCTCCTTGCAGGCGCCCCGTCTCCGCCGGCCCTCTCCGCCCCGACGGCCCCGCTGAGGGCTCTGCCGCGGCTCCCGGTCCTGACACACAGCGGTGGTCTGGGGGGGTTCGGCCAGGCACTGCCCCTCTGCAGTCGCCCACGGACTGGGGCTGACCAGTGTGTCATGGCTTTTGAGCCCCGAAGGGGCCCCAGAGAGTATATGCGGGTTCACAGCAGCGCTTTGTTTCTTATTCGTGTGTTGAGCAGTTGAGGTTGTTGCCCAGAACTTTTTTTTTATTAAAGAAAAAAAAATCCCAAACAAAGAAAAACCCTTAAAAAAAGTACAGAAGGTTCAAAGACAGAAATTCTGCAAGCACAGCCATTCCTAAATTCACGGGTAGATGCATTCTTTACAGCAAAAGGTGCTGACAGCTGTTTAGAAGTCACTTTAGAGAGATGACCCACGTAATTGAAGCCAAATGGATGATTCAGGGGATTATGAAAAAAGCAGGATCATGAAATTAGCTTTTTATTGTATAAAGTATTTTCACACAACTGCAAGTAATCTCTGTTGCATTTCCTGTGTTTTGTATTTTTGAAACATCAATTTAAAGATAATTTTAGCAAGTACTTACTTAGAATAACTGATTATTCTTTATGGTGTTGACAGATTGTCAGAACGGAACTGTATAGAAATTGTCACTAAACTGATTGCGGAAAAGCAGCTGGAAGTAGTGCACACACTTGATGGAAAAGAGTATGTCACTCCAGCACAGATTAGTAAGGAGATCCAGGATGAGCTTCATGTTTGTGGTGGTAAGTGTGCCATTTGCTTTATTCCTCTGGATTTGGAAGTTAATTTTGAAGACTACAGAAAGGATTTGAAAGTTTTCTTAAGCATCCTTAACCCTGAAAAAAAATTGAGCTGGCTTCCTACTGTTTTATCCACATGTGAATTCACCTACTATTATTTTTATTCTCAGCAGATGTGTGTTAAGCTTTTAGGTAGGCACATCAAGATGTGTTACTCAGTTCACCCATGCAGAATTTCTGAGGTAGAGGTGGTCTAAGAACCCTGTTGAAGGAAACTTGGCATTTTAATGTGGTTAAGTATGTGGCCCAGATGTTTGGCTTTGACTCAGAACTTCAAAATCATAATATGATTTACCATTAATAATAATAACATTTATTAATTGTCATTGACAGGTCTTTTATTATACCATTGTGACAAGCCATCTCCTTTGTAAGATCTGACTTAAAAATGTATAAGGAAGCAAATACACTTCATACTGCTTTTTGTCAATGGTTTTAATGAGAAGATGGTGTACTGCATCTTTACTTATATTTAAGGATTAATTTCACAGCATCCTATGTTTGGAAAATTTACTTCCTTACTATGTTCATGCAGATCAGTCATTTTCTTATGATTACCACAACTATGCTTCAGTTTGTGTTATGCCATTGTGTATCATATCAGTTTGATAGCTTGAATTTAGTTTGAAGTTGCTGGGTTTTGATAGTAGAATCATGCAAGGGTAGAAAGTTTTGGCAGTCTCCATTTTGATACATGTGGACTAGTGATCAAATTCAAATCAGCATCAAGGCAAAAACTGATTGGGAGGGAGTTTGAACAGTGATTTTTACTTATGGAATTTCTGTATTGGATTCTCAGCCAGGCTATAGAGTAGAACAATATGTGGTATCTTGTACTGACAACCTGTGGTTTCTGTGATATGACAACATATAAAGCTGAAGTTGGTTTAATTTTCAGGACATGGTTTAGTGGGCATGGTGGTAATGGGTTGATGGTTGGACTTGGCGATCTTGGAGGTCTTTTCCAGCCTTAATGGTTCTATGATTCTGTAATTGATCTACGAAAAGTAATGAAGAAGTATTTTGCATGCAATGGACTGTGCTATATTTTAAATCTGTTCAGGCATGTTTTATATACTAAAAATATATTTGTACTTTTTTTGCAGGTCGAGTAAACATTGTTGACTTACAACAGGTAACTTTTTAGTAATAAAAAAATCACATACTTATTTGTTTTCTTCACCATGTATGTTGTAAATAATTGTATTCCAGCTGTTCTTTTTAAAAGAGAACAAAGTTTATGATGATCCGGTAGCTCATGTCGGCATTCTGCAGATTACATAATCCATCCATTTATTGCTTTATTGAAAGCTTATCTCTGCTTAATGTTAATCTAGGACTTCTAAAATCACAACGAAAATTTACAGATACTCTTTATGAACTCTTCCTTTGTAAACTAAGTGGGTCAAACAGAAAAGAAATATGTTTCCCATTTAAATTTAAAGCTGCAGGAGCATGCGTAATTAACTTTGCGTGCTTATTTGGATCTTCCTTCTACCATCACTAATCTCTTGTCTCCACTAATCTTTATCCTTCATTAGTGACTCTGTGACTGTTTTTTCCCTTCTGGCTTGAGTGAAATTATTTGGAATAAGAAAACCTTTCTGAAATAAAATTTAGTATTTTCTGTTGATAACTTCCTGGAATTTTTTATTAAAGTTGCAAAGAAAGCGCTTCCCCCTAAAACACTGCTGTTTTATTCCAAATCACAGATTAACTGCATATGTGTGCAGTAGTAGAAGATAATAAAAGCAGCTTTCTTCAAGACATAGGGATTTGTAACTGTAATATCTCAATGTTTGAGAATTAATTTCAATTCATTTCAAATCTGATAAGAATTTTTGTTGTTTGGGTTTTTTTAGGTAATAAATGTGGACCTTCTGCACATTGAAAACAGAGCTAATGACCTTGTTAAATCGGAAAAAACTATTCAGCTTGTACTGGGACAACTTATTAATGAGTGAGTAGTTTCAGAAGCAACATGTATAATTCACTTATTTTTTGAAATGCAAGCAAAAAGTGATGGCCAGCCTTTTTTGCTTCTGAAGTGAAATACATTTTTCTTGACTGCTACTAGGGCTGCTTGGTAAAAAGTGCTTACTTTCCAACTGGCGAGCAAGGCCTCTCAGCAGACCATCCAGTGAATCTGTGGAGCAAAGGCCTTACTGAATGTCTCTGCCCAGTACCCTGCACTTAAGAAGCTGCATTTCTTACCCAGTGTCTTTGTGTACAGCAACCAGATCTCATTTGCTCTCTGGCTTTGCTTTCTGCCTCAGCTATTGACAAACCCTCTCATTTTTCCCGCCCCTTGCTTTAACTCTCAAGCCCAAGATGTATGAGCGAGTTATTTCATGGCATTCAGCACACAGACAACCACTGAAGTAATATTCTTATGGGGTTGTCTTTATTATTGATTGTGCTGCAGGATTTATTCTTGGCAAAGAATGTGAAGTTCCTGGCTCTCTTGAAATAATTAAGATCTATCTTGCTCATTAAAGCCCTTTTTTAAGTCTCATTGACATATAATGCTTTCCCTTCCTGCTTTTTGACTGTTATATAAAAGTAGATAAATGACCATTTTTAATACTAGCTACGTGGTTAGCAGGCTTTTTAAAAAAACTCCACTTTTCCGCTTACATCGTTCTCCTTTATTCAGTTAAAATAACTTTCAGTTTATTTTTGCAAAGATATAACAAAAATTTATAGGGCCAGGTCAATTAATAATTCAGAATGTGGACAACAGGTGGATCTTGAATTTCACGCTTAATGTGTTGGGATTTCTTTTGTTTTTAAATTAGGAGTTACCTGGATCAGTTAGCAGAAGAAATAAATGATAAACTACAGGAAACTGGTCAGGTGACAATTTCAGAACTCTGCAAGGCATACGACCTTCCAGGAGACTTCCTGATACAGGTGATGCAAGCCACCAACCTAGCAAATGTAGAATTTACTATTTTCACCTTCTTGTGTCATCTTTGCAGTATCCATGGCTTTAGTTGTGATGAGTTGCTTGTCCTTCTAAGCAGAAAAGTGCTAGATACGTAAAAGTAGATACATAAAGCTATTCACAGACTGAGGTTGATGTTTGCCTTTTCACTTATGGGGAGAGTTTCTTCAAAATCTTTATGACTGTTAGGGACAGATTAGGGTTAGGAGCAGGTTAGATAAGTGGAAGATTGAAAAATGTCGTTGTATCAAATATTAGATAAAATTACTCCTGCATTTTCTATCAGTCTCATTAGCTACCCAGGAAGCAGAAATACAATGGTAGAGACCTTTCAGTTTATTCAGAAAAGGTAAAATAAATGTTTGTTTCTAGAAGCTGAAGCGACGCATTCAGAGTAGAAACAGCAAACTATTTACCTTTGTTAGTGACTATTGTAGTGTTTAAAAGGATTAGGGAGAATTCTCTTACCATTGTTGACTTCCAGTCAAGGTTCGATTTTGGTTTTTTTCAAAGGCTAATCCTATGGCATGTGTTTGGTGAACAGTCCTATTGAGTACCACAGACAACCTTGTTGACTCTCAGTTTATGAACAGATTTCCTCTCTTATTTGTTGCTTATGCAAAAACATTTCTGACATACAAAAATTATTACATGGTTTCTCTTTGTTTCTTCAGCAGTATTTCCTGGGTTTAGTTCACTTTGCAAAGAGGCACGTTTTTAAACTGTTTGCACCTTTTTCTTTGTGTTTATTGTTGCTAATTTTTGTCTTGACTGTTTGAAGAAACAGATAATGAATTTCTCTGCCACTGTTTCGTACAAAATTAATACAAAGATTAAATCTTTGTTTTCATTGTGCATTTTCAAACCATACTTATTTCTTTTGCAAAGTTCTCATTCATTATTAAATATACATATATCTGATAGAAGAGGGCATTGTTAAGAAAGCTGAATTCCCTGAAGTTTGGAGTTTGAGCCATAATGGCATCAACTTACATGTAGTAAGACATGTTCTCAATTTACCTAAATAACAATTTCCACTTGTAGTAATTTCTGAGTATTTTGTCTGTCTTAACAAAAATAATTTGCTGATCTTTTAATCCAGGGGGTTTTTATTAATTTTTTGTTTAACATTAATATACATTTTAGCAGTCATCTCGGCTTCTATTTACAGGCATTGTCCAGGCGTTTGGGTAGAATTATCCACGGACAACTAGACCAGGAAAACCGTGGGGTGATTTTTACAGAAGCCTTTGTGTCCCGTCATCGAGCACGCATTCGTGGTCTCTTCACTGCGATTACTCGGTAAATTGCAAAATCTACAACTGCATATTAAAATATTTTTACTATAGGTCTTTATGGACTAAATTCACTTGTGATTGAAAAAGAAAAGAAAAGAAAGACCTATGGATAGATTTCTTTAAGTGTAGTTCAGTGAGGTGAAATATTTAGTTATATTAGACTCACTTTTCTGAAATGGGGACCTCCTTTTTAAAGGAGAACAAGTATAACAGTATACTGCATGCAATATACTTAAGTTTTTTGGCCGATGAAAACGTTAATCAGTAGTATCTATCCTCGTTGTCATTCCACTGCCCCCCAGTCAATTACAGATTGATGTCTATCCACTGCATGGGATTATAGATAGTTTTTTCTTATTAAATCAATAATCTTTTCTGTCAGTTTGTTTGAAGAGAAAAACTTGGGACAGCATAAGTTTCCTTACAATATTTATTGTAGCTTTGTTATAAGATATAATTTCATAGTAATTCTAAATTAAAACTTGTAAACTGTGTTAAACATCAGTGTAGCACCCTGGGGCTAAGATACTATGTAGTTTTGTCCATCTGGACAAAACTCTTATTTCTAGATTCTCCACATCAATTTCAGGTCATTAACTTGGTTGTTTCTTTTTTTCCAAGGCCTACACCTGTAAGTAACTTGATCACTCGCTATGGATTTCAAGAACATTTACTTTACTGTGAGTTTCATTCAGACCATTTTGTAGTTTTGTTAGGTAATTCGTAGATTCCTCATTACTATGAGTATGCTTTCAAAGAAGCATTTTCATATATAGCTTTAACTCTGGAATAAAGAACAGTGTGTTTCTCTCTAGTGTAAAAAGTGTTAAACCTTTTGTGCTATCCATAACTAAAGAGATGTTCTCTGTATCTAAAGCAATGAACGCATACGTTGATGAAATGCCTCTGGGTGCAGAAAGATGCAAGAAGTACTTTTTGAAATCTGTTTTGTTACTTGCCCTTAGCTATTGACAGCTTTATCAGTGAAGCACACAAAGGGGACAGATTTTATGTAGCCAAATGGCATTAACTGCTCTGGATTTTATTTATTGACATATCTCTGTGATAGCAAGGCAGAGCTTTTGTAATACTCTTAGTTAAATGTCTTTATATGCTAAGAGATAAAGCATATCGTTAAACTGTTTGCTTTTATTTTCCACACTTCCTTTTTAAAATAGAAATTCATAAAGATTTCCTATCCAACTGCTGAAACTTTTAGGCAGTACTTAATTGTTTCTCTCTTCTAGTGCTGCAGCTTTTCTTTGACTACCAGGAATCTCCTCCCATCTGTCCAAAATGCCGCTTCAAGCATCATTAGTCTTATATGCTGGCTGACCAAGTGCTGTTTGTCTTTGGAATCCTTTAATGGTTTTCTATCTCTTCTCATGAAAGTTCATATTTCTGTTTTGTTGATTGGGTCTTTTTGCCTTCAGGGCATTGCACACTTTAGCTCCACTGTAATATCTTTCTGCTTACCTTCTTGTTCTTTGCGATGAGCTTATTAATTAAAGATTAAAATGGTAGCATTTACATAAAATCATATAAGCACTCTACTTTCACATAATCAGTTTGTTTCCTCTTTTTTTTTTTTTGAATATGCCATCTAGATATTCATAGACAAAAAGGAAAGTTGGTTAGACTGCATTGTAGTAATGTTGCAGTACCAAACAAACCTTAATGTCAGGTGACAGTCTTTTTCAAACAGGTCCTGCAAGTACCTGATCATTTATTGCTCATTTACATTGTCAATGTGAATTGAAGTGCTAATGTTTTCCTGTCACCAGTAATTGTCACAATGGCTCAGTGTGTTTCTAGTACTTCCTTTTTCTTGGGTTAGTTTTTGTTTGGGTTTTTTTTGGTGAGTTTGTTCATCTTTTTCTTTATTTTTTTTTACTGTATTTCATTTCCTCTGCAGTTTCATAAGTTTCAAAGAGCTTTTTACTCACTGCCAGAGCCCATTCGATTTTATTTTATCTATTTTCTGAGATACCGTTCAATTCCACAAATGCTGGAAACTTGAAAAATATCTTTTCAATGATGTTACTTATATTCTTCACTTTTTATGTTTGTCGTTATTAGAAATGTACTTTAAAGTTGTCTTTGTCAGTTTTATGTCTCTTCAGAAAAAATAGTAAGTTCAGTGTACTGTTTGCATAATTTGAAAACAGCTAATTATTTAATCAGCACTTAGTGTTAGACAAGATAACCAAGTCTTTGGTTCTGTCACATAGCTGTGCTGCCATTCATGTTAAGCCGACATGAATTTACCGTAGAATATAAATAATTTTAGATATGAGCTTAAGTTAAAACACTAATTGCGAAGCATAACGAAAACACAGATGTTCTTCATTCCTGAATATTGTGTTACTGACATAGGACAGGCATGGAGGGATGCTTGTTGTCTTTGGCAGACGTTGACAGAGACCTAATAGGAAGCTACGAACTACTATCCACCTTTACCAGCCACTACTATCCACCTCTACCAGCCACGAACTGGCTGAAGGAAAGAAGCCAGAG